TATTACAGCCTCCCAGATGGTGGAACCGGAAGGTATCGAAGGCAAAGTCCGCACATGTATTGTTTAAGTCATCGCTGAAGTTAATCTCTAATGAGAGGAGGTATTAGGAAGATGACCCTATAGTGGGAAGGTTAGGCATGTAGGCACTTTTCCAATTAGTCTAGAAGGCTCCTTCTCCCCACCCCCACCTCTTCAGGCTCTTCGTTGGTCAAGCTGTTTTTCTGCTTTTACAGAGCAGCTGCTAGTCTTTACACCTGGAGCTTCAGGCTAGGAAAAGCCTTTGCAATCAGTGCAATGTCACCTGCAGATGTCCCAGGGGCGTGGGGGCCGCTTGGCCTGTGTGTCCCCAGGATGGCAGCCATGCAGCTTTTGGTGGAGCCACTGCTTCTCCCTCTCCCCTTGGCGCTGTGGCCGGCCACTGGGCCCTACCACTTCCTGCTCGGGATTGAGAAGCCCCGACCACGCACACCCCCAAGCGAGGGTGCAGGCCGGCCAGATCCATCCTGGCCATTGTAGGGCACCTGGTGCAGCAGTCACCTGGCCCTCACGTGCTCCTCCAGCATCGAAACTTAAAAAGACCAACGTTGCTGATTTGGAGAAAATAAGTGGTGTCACTGGGCTAGCAGCATGGAGTGTCGGTTAAGCGCTCTGGAGCCAGAAGACCCAGGTTCAAATGCCACCCCGGTCACTTTCCAGCTGGATCTTGTTGGATACGTTACTTAGTGCCTTTGAGACTCTGACCCTGCAAAGGTGAGGTGGGACCAATCAGTGTTAACTTTGCCGAGAGATTCAGGGTTAAAAGGAATAACGCCATGTGGCACTCAGCACAGGGCCTGGCACACGGCACATGCTTGGTAAACATTCGTTCGCTGGTGGCAAAATGGTGAAGCAGGTGCAGTGTGTGCTCCGTTTCCTCCTGCTTCCTCCCCCAGCTTTAGAACCTTCTCCTGCACCTCCTCTCCCCTGCCCCAGCGTGGCAGGGGCAGGACAGTTGTTCCTTTAGTGTTAAAAAATGATCACGTGGAACTCTTGTTTAAAATGCAGACTCTTGGCCAGGTGTGGTGGCTCACGCCTGTCATCCTAGCACTCTGGGAGGCCGAGGTGGGAGGATTGCTCAAGGTCAGGAGTTCAAGACCAGCCTGAGCAAGGGTGAGACCCCTGTTTCTATTAAAAATAGAAAGAAATTAGCTGGACAACTAAAAACATATAGAGAATATTAACCAGGCATGGTGGCGCATGCCTGTAGTCCCAGCTACTCAAGAGGCTGAAGCAGGAGGATTGCTTGAGCCCAGGAATTTGGGGTTGCTGTGAGCTAGGCTGACACCACAGCACTCACTCTAGCCTGGGCAGCAGAGCAAGACTGTCTCAAAAAAAAATGCAGACTCTTGTCTATGGCTGTACCACCCTCAATGTGCCCAGTCTTTTCAGCTCCCTGAAGCTAAGCGGGGTTGAGCCTGGCTAGTATTTGGATGGGAGAGTGGGAATACCTGGTGCTGTAGGCTTTTAAAAACAATTAAATAAAATAAAAGGCTGACTCTTGGGCCCCAAGCCCTAAGAGTCTTATTTAGTTGGTCTAGGGCAGGGGACCTGCACTGTTAGGAAAGCATTCCCTGTGACTCTGTTCTGGAGCTCTGAGGGCAGTGCTTCCAGAGACATTTCTCTGTGGAGTTACTCAGAAGAATTTAAGGGTCCTTCCCACCTTTCCATTTCAGTAAGGACTCAAAAAAAAAAAAAAGCCATTCAAACCTACTAAATCTTTAAACTGAGTTCTGTGGGGGGATTTCTTGAGGCCAGGAGTTCAATATCAGCCTGGGCAACATAGCAAGACCCCATCTCTAAAAAATAAATTTTTCTCTGGGCGTGGTGGTGCACACCTGTAGTCCCAGCTTCTCGGAAGGCTGAGGCAGGAGGATTCCTTGAGCGCAGGGGTTTGGGTTACAGTGAACTATGATCACACCACTGCACCATAGCCAGGGTGATAGAGCAGCACCCCTCTCTAAAAAAAAATCCGTCTGTGACTATTCTCCTATCCCATAGGAAATTGCTCAATTCTCTGCTGACTCTGTTTCCCTTCCTGCCCCATCTCCTCCCTGTGTGCAGCACGTTTTGGTCCTGCATCTCCGCGGTGTCCTCTGTCTCCCTCTTTGCAGTTAGCGGCACCCCTCCGCCCAGTTGCTCGGGCCCAGTCCCAACAGATTCTTTGTCACTCCTCCCCTCTCCCCGGCATGCATTCGTTTAGCAGGTCTCCCTGGCTCTGTTCTCATGGTGTTGCCCAAATAGGGCCCCTTGGCGCAACTCTGGCTGCAGCCACCCAGGGCTCACCCAGGCTTCCTTACCTCACAGCCTCTCAACTGGCCACCCCACTTGTAGCCTCGGCCCCCAGGGTGCACTTTTAAACACACATCAGATCGTGCCTTGCTTAAAGCTCCTTCCACCCAAAACACAGACACACTCACCCTACCCCACGCCTCTGGCCCCAGCCCTTCCCGGCTTCTGCACTCCCCGTGCCCCTGCAGGACGGTTGCTCTTGCTCACCTCCTCCAGAACGACTTGCCTCCAGATCCTGTCACCGCCTGCTCCTCCTGGCTGTTCAGCGGGGAGAAGAGAGAATCAGCAGAGACCCCACTCCCTCCCCGCCTCCGCTAGCTTGCTCCTTCATCCTCACATGGCATTCGCCTCCTCTTCCTCAGACCAGGGATTTTTGGCTGGTTCCCAACTGAGCTGGGAGAACTGGTCTGTTGCACGAAGACTTCCAAATATAATGTTTGTAAAGAGGAAGATTTCTCTTCCGGGAAGCTACATGGAGGCTCCATGCTGCTGGCGCCACAGGGGACTGAGTTGGAGGGAAGTTCTGTGAGCTGAATGTGGTCCTGTGACCAGCTCCCTTCACCCACGGGGAGAAGGGTCTGTGCCAGTGAGCAACAGGCCACCGAGGTCAGTTCCATTTGGAATACTGATTCACAGTCCTCGCTCGTGAAGTCAAAGTTGGCCTCTGCTTCAATACGGACTCCTCTGACAACCTTCCTTCCTGGACTCCAGAAAGATGTGGACTAGCTCCTAAAGCCTGCAGGGGTCCCTTGACACAGCTAGCCTGTGCTAGCAATTTCTTTTATAAGTAGAGATAGAAATGGAGCTTTTTGCTTTGCAGATGTGAGGCCTAGCAGTTGACCTGCCCAAGGCCAGGTCGTTGGTAGCTCAGTCCTGCCTTTCTCGGCCCAGGCTGTCCACTCCGTCAGGTGGGCTGGGGTCTAGCAGCATGCTCACCTACTGCTAGGACTCAGCTGTCTGGAAGGAACAGGGCTCAGCCCACCCAGGAGCCTCCCTGGCCTGTATCGGGATTGGATCTCCCAGGAAGGGGTAGCTGGAAGCATGGGGTGAGAGGAAGAAGAGGGAGAGGGAAAGAGGAAGGGAGGAGAGGACCAGAGGGGAGAAGGATGCCATAAGAAAGTGCTGTGGGGGCAGAGGCTGGGAGACAGAGGTCTCAGGGAGAGAGGGGCTGGAATTCCCATGTAAAATCCAAAGGCACAGTCTGCCTTTGAATGGCGAACACTTTGGCAGGAGTCTAGCTGGTGAAGATCTAAGATAGTAACTGCCAGCCTCTTAACATTTTAGACTGAGTTCCCTGCTCTCTTATCTTCTCAATTTCACAGCAAACAATGGGCTATTGACTAAGCTCTGGGAGCTGTGGGTGTTCTCAGGGGGAGGCTGGCCAAAACCCTTGCATCTCAGGGTTTCGCTCCCAAGTCGGCTCCATCTATCAGAAATGTGAAACCCTGGAGTTTTCCTCCTCCTCCTCACTTCTCTGCCTTGAGGCGCAGGCAGCTGGAGAAGAGAACCCTGGGCGCAGGGAATGTGTGCGCGTGGGTGGGAGTGAGTATGCATGCACTTAGACATGGGTGTGTGCATGCATGTGAGTGTGCACAGTAGTATGCGTGAGTGTGCGTGTGCACGAGTGTTTGCCTGTATGTGTGAGTACATGTGTGTGTGTGTGCACACGTGAGTATTTGTGTGCTGTCAGGGAAGGTGTGGCAGAGGAGGACAGGTGCATCTACATCTGGTGTGTGACGTCAGCACTTCCCATAGACTCACCTTTCCCGGGGAAGGGCTGCACTGACACGATGCAGTGAGGGCTGGGAAATGAGAAGCCTTATCTACAAGTCTTCCCTTGGAGGGGCCAGAAAAAGCACCAGGGTCCTTTTCTTCCCACACTGTTGGGTAAGAAGCATCGCAGAGAGATGCAAAGGGAAGGGGGACCCTGCCCCTTGCAATGGCCTCAGGTCCCCATTGCCATGGACATTGTAAGGTGCAAGTTGGGGGATGCATGCTGCAGAGAATAAATAAAGGAGTGGTCGGAGGACCTCAGTCCTTACCCTGCAGACTAGTTTTAAGCGCTTCTAGAATCTCAAAACCTCATCAGATTAAGATTTTCCACTCTAATGGTATTGCCAGTTATTGAGAGTTTACTGTACGCTCTACTTAGTATTAAAGGTTGGACATACACAATCTCCTTTATTCCTCATGATATTATGATGCAGATTTATTTTATACAGGAGAAAACAGAGACATAGAGGAGTTAAGTCACTCGCTCAAGGTCATAGAAATTATAAATGATTGGATTCTCGTCCAGTTCTGTCTGCCTCTGAAGGGCCAGCAAGTTTCCGCCACTAGCTGTGGGAATGGTGCAGAGTTTCCCTGTAAAGAAGCTAGTCCAGGAGGTCAAACCCAGAGAAGGAAAACGTGCTTAGTAGAGAGCGAGCAGACTTACTCTGGGTGTCTGCAGAAGGCAAACCTGGGAACTGACAGGTCGAGGCCATTGAGAGGCAAGGCTTTCTGACCACTGGGTGGTCTGAGAGTGGGTGTGCTTAATACACATTAACTCTTTTGTTTTATTTTATGTTATTAAGATTCAGGGTTCAGCTGCCCTTACCTAAGCCTATCTCTGGGATGGATTTGCTGCCTGCCTTCTAATCACCTATTTATGCACCTCTCTTCCCAACCAGATGATGATGGCGTCTTATTCCTTTCTGCATTCCCAGAATCCTAGCCCACTGCCTGGAACACGAAAGAGGATCCGTAAGTATTTCCAGAAGGAAGGAGTGACAACCAGAGATGCTGGCTCCTGCTTCCAGATTGAGGCATGCACTCAGGTCGGGGGACGGTGGCCCTCGTGGCAGAGCTTGCCTCTGTAGAAGGCAGACGGGGCCAGGCCCCCAAGCTTACACAAGGCCCTCCAGCTCGTGTTCACTGCCAGCCTCTGACCAGGGACCTGGGCATCACGTGTGGGTGAGGATGGCCTGTGAGGGGAGGTCTGTACTATGCCCTAGCACTATACCCTTTGCTATTCTAAGGTGAAACAGCTGAGCATCCACTGGGGGCCTGGACATCTGCATGTTTATGGGATGGCCTGTGTTGTGCGTATCACTAGGGTTTCAATTAGAAGACAGAAAGGCAAACTAGGTCCCTGTGTCCCCTATACCCAGACCCTGGGGATGGAATGTATTTGGGAATGTTTAAGGGGGTGGTGTGTGCTCACTGGCCTTCCCATCTGGGCCACAAAGCAAAGTCTGCCTCCACTTGTCTCCAGCAAGCGTGCATTTGCATGGGTAGCTCCACGTCGGAATGTACCTGGGCAGATTTCTGCTTTCTCCCAAGGTGGGGAAACAGAATCAGGGTTTACTCTCTCACCTAAAACTGCTAAAACACCAGACAAGAGATATCAGCAAGACACTGGACACCAGATGATGAGAAACAGTGATCCCTGTGAGAGGTGAGCCCTGGGATTGCCTGGCTTGCTGCCCGGAGAGCGCGTCCAGACCACGGTGCAGGAATGGGGAATGGAGGACTTGCCAGACTCAGGAAATGGGGCTGAACGTCCAAGGAGAGCAAGTTGATAGGGCAGAGCTCACAGGACAGAGTGCTAGAGAGAAGGTAACTGCAAATAGAAAGAACTTGGAGGTCTGCAGAAGACCCCTCTTGTGGATTTAGTAGGCTCCTACTCAGCACCTGTGTGTGAGGAGTCTACACAAAGCCAGGAAAAGAACCCCACATGGAAGGATGAGAGGAGCAGTGCCCAGCACTCACTCAGGGCTGGAAATAGTGCCTAGACAGACGGGAAACTCTCATAACATACGGGGCACGGGGTAGAGCACACAAAAGGCTCTTGCCTTGGCCATTGCCCAAATTAATAGCATCTTCTCTTCGAAAGACACTGTTCAGAGAATGAAAAGACGAGCCACAGACTGGGAGAAAATATTTGCAAAGCATATATTTAATAAAGGGCTTGTATCGGAATATATAAAGAACTCTCCAACTCAATATTAAGAAAACAAACAACCCTGTTAAAAAAAAATGAGTACAAGATTTTAACAGACACTTCACTAAAGAAGATGCTCAACATCATTAGTCATGCAGGTGATGCAAATAAAACCGCAGCGAGGTGCCACTGCACTCCTGTCACAACGGCTGAAATGGTGGAGGCCGATCATACCAGGTATTGGCAAAAATGTGGACAAATTGGAACTCTCATCCCCTGCTGGAGGGAAGGTAGAATGGCACAAACCACTTTGAAGAATAGTTTGGCAGTTTCTTAAACAGTTAAGCATATACTTACCATTGGGTCCAGTGCTTCCACTCCTAGGTATTTATTGAAGAAAAATGAAAGTGTGTGTCCATCTGTAGTAGACTCCTGGGGCTGCCATAAGATAACACTACAAACTAGAGGCTTAAAACAATAGAAATATATTGTCTCACATTTCCGGAGGCTCGAAGTCTGAGATCAAAGTGTCACGTGGGCCATGCTCCGTCTGACACCTGTGGGGTAGACTCCTTTCTTGCCCCTTCCAAGCTCCTGGTGGTCTGATGGCCATCTTTGGCATTCCTTGGTTGGCAGACGCATCACTCCAATCTCTGCCTTCACTGTCACATGGCATACTCTCTGTGTGTCCCTGACTTCACATGGTCATGTTCTTGTAAGGATACCAGTCATATTGGATTAGGAGCCCTTTCTACTCCAGTATGACCTCATCTTATCTAATTATGTCTGTAACGACCTTTCCAAATAAGGTCACATTATGAGACACTGGGGATTAGGACTTCAACATGCCCTTTATTGAGGGACACAGTTCAACCTGTGTCCCTCAATAACACTGTCTGAAGATCTGAACATGAATATTTGTAGCAGCTTTGTTTATAATAGCCCCAAATGGAAAACAACCCAAATGGCCATCAGTGGGCAAATGGATAAACAAATTGTAGTATATATGTACATGAGAATACTACTCAACAATAAAAGAAATAAACTATTAATGCATAGAACAACATGGATGAACCTTAACATAGTTATAGTGATTGAAAGAAGCCAACCCAAAAGAGTACATACAGTACTATATGATTCCATTTATATCAAATTCTAGAAAACACAAGCCAATCTCTGGTGATTGGCAGCAGATGAGTGGTTACTGGGGGATGGTGGGCAAAGGTGGGATGGAGGTATATACGCTTGACTGTGCTGATGTTTCCGTGGATATATACTGTCCTAGCTTCCTATTGCTGCTGTGACAAATTACCACAAATTTAGTGGCTTAAAGCAACACAAAAGTATTCTCGTGCAGTTCTGGCAGAATTGGAGCAAGTGGATGGACTGCTGGGACATTTTTACAAGAAGCCAGACAGATCGTAATCAGGGGAAAACCAGGAATCCCAGGGGCTGGGTCCCTTTCTTCAGCTAATCAATGCCCAAGAACGTAACTGCTTTGTGTCCCAAGGGCCAAGGAGACACCAGAACAAGAACTGAAACTTCCTTCCCCTCCACAACTCAATCACAGGCAGAGAAGGAATTAGGTTCTTTTCAAAATATTTATTGCGCATCCTCAGAATATTTGTTGAGCAAACTGCTGTTCCAGGCACCAAAGGAGGTCCCAGGCCCTTCTTCAAGTCTTCAGAAGTACAAAATGAGTCTTAGGGGCTAAAATCAAGGTGTCAGCAGAGCTGGTCCCTAATGGAGGCTTTGTGGGAGAATCCGTTTTCTGGCCTCTTCCAGCTTCTAGAGACTACCCGTGTCCCTTTGTTCATGGCCATGTCACATCACGTAGGTCTCTGCATCCATGTTCACCTCCATGGCAACCCTTGTGGCTGGGCCCACCAGAATAATCCAGGCTACTCTCCCTTCTCAAGATCCATAACTTAACCACATCTGCAAGAGTCCCTTTTATCATGTGAGGTGACACATTCACAGGTTAGATATGGACATCTTTGGTGGGGCCATTATTCACATGCACATTTGCCAAAGCCTCTTAATTATACACATTAATATATTAATTATTAATCATCAATTATTAATTAATATCATTAATATACATCAATCATACAGCAGTAACTGTTCAAAAAAACCAAAAAAACCCTGAGCCTAATAACTTTGATCAAAAAATACAGCTGGGCTCTGCCTGTCACATTTTGTCAGCTTGCCAAGGGTCTTTGGAGTCTTCCCAGTCATTGCAGAGATGAGCAAAGATTGTTCCGGAAAATCAGGCCGCCTCTGGGGGGATGTGCCTCAGCTTCTGGTATGTGACTTTTCAAGCCTGGCTGAGTTGGGGTCCCCAGGGCACTGGGGAGGGTGCAGATGCAGGGCGTGTGTGCAGTGGGCCTCCCGTCACCGTGCTGGGAGGCAGGGAAGGCTGAGCTGACCACCTGCTGGACAGGCACGGTGGCCAGGGAAGGGTAGCCCGTGTGTGCTGTGCCTGGCAAACCGGGCCATTAAGATTTTGCTCCAGTTTACTTTTTTTTTGTTATGTAACTAATTTATTCATTTTATTTCATTTCATTTTATTTTAGTGTGGTAAGAACACTTAAAATGAGATCTGCCCTGTTAAATTTTGGTGTGCAGTGCAGTATTGTTAGGTGTAGGTGCTGTGGTGCCGCAGAGCTCTAGAACTTACTCATCCTGCTGAACCGAAACTTTGTGCCTGTTGATTAGCAACTCCCCATTTCCAATTCAGTTTTCCTGCCTCACGTCCCGCTTCTTCTGGGCCACTAATTACGTGACATTGGACTGAAAGGGGTTACAAGAATTGCTCATGATTTTATCATGAGGAAGAGAGGAACCCTTGTTCTCAGTATCTCAGCTTGTTGGCGCCAAACCCTGTGATCACCCCCACCGTGTGCACGGGGAGTTGGGGGCTGATGACAGGAGGAAGAGCCTTCTGGGCCTTTCTGCTGCACTACAGGTGGAGGTCGCCTCCTCCCCAGATGCTCCTGTAGGGCTGCGGGCAGCCTCGGGCCCAGGACACCCGTGCCCCTCGCAGCTCCGTGCAGCCCACTCTACTTCTAGGTGAGAGACGCGATTCTTCTATCAGAGCGTGCAAGTCCACATGTAGCAGAGATTGAAGACAACCTACCTACCTTCCTTCCTTTTTTTTTGTTGCTCTTTTATCATTTTTAGTTGTCATGGGCATATTGTTGTGAACGACACTTGTTGTCTAGGTGTCTAATCACCTACATGGCAATGAGGAAGAGTCTTTTACTCTGATGTCAGCTAGCTACTGAAGCTGCGAAGCGAATTCTTGGTTACACCCTGCTGAGTGGACTGTGCCCTCCGCCCTGGGCGGAGAGCCCTTTGCCCTCCGAAGGAATAAATTGTCTTATGTCAACCCTGCACTGAGAGTTTTCAGGAGATGAGGGAGTCCTGCTTGCTTCTTGTGCTAGAATCTGTTCACCATGAACGCACAGTTTCTTTCCAGCTCACATCTGGGATTGGGACACCCCTTAAGGCCGGGCAGCGTGGTAAGGACTAACTGTTTAAGAGCCTGTTTGAGAAAAAGAGCCGCTTTCCACCCCTTCTCTTGCAGGACCATCCTGGCTGCAGCTGCAGCTCTGCTCTTGGATGCTCTGTGGCTGACAATAACTGTCTTGCTCTCTGACAAGCTCAGAACAGCGTGTGTGTGTGTGTGTGTGTGTGTGTGTTCGCTCACTAGCTGGAAAGCTAAGGTTGAGAAGTGGAATGGCAAGATCCCCAAAGTCAAAGGCTGCTTCTCCCACCCCAGTCTGCCTGGGCAAGGGGCTCCCAGGCCATGGCTGGC